TTTTTTCTGTGTCACGGCTGTGCGTGTACGTGGTTATACTTGTGTGGTTAGATAGAGTCTCAGTCAGGCAGTGGTGATGTTATGGGCATGTGATGCTGATGGGAGGTTCGATTTGTTATTGGGTGAGGGCGGGGGGGGGGGGATGGGTGCGTGTCGGTGGTGGTGGGGGTGGGGGGGGGGGGAGGGGGGGGGGGGGGGGGGGGGGGGAGGGGGGATACCCGCCCTGAAATAATGTTCTAGAGAGGGAGAGAGAAGAACATACCTGACCACACCCATCAGATTCGCGACCGGAACACCCACGCTCGTCAACATGACCCGCTTGTTCTCATCGGCGATATTATTATTATACCACACGTCCAGAATCACGCTGGGCGCGCTCGTGCCCCAGGTCATCATGAAACAGGCAAAGTAGGCCGTGTGCAGCTGGGTGTCGAGGTTGACAGCTGCAAAGATGATGAAGCCGATACAAGTGAAGGCGAAGCCCAGGGCGACAAAGGGGAACCGCCAGCGAGTGAAGTCGGACGCAAAGGCCAAGAGGAGCAGCATGACGGCGCCGGTGATGTTGGGGGCCACGGTGTACAGGTTCGTCTTGACGGTCGAGTAGCCGAGCTGGTTGACGATGACGGGGAGGAACAGCGTGACGCTCTGCAACGGCACACCCAAGCACATCTCGATGACCAGGATGACCCAGCTGGTCGGGTGTTTGAAGATGGCCAGCGCGGAGCGGATGTTGAACTTTTCGTCCACCACCGACGACGAGTCCACCTGGATGCGGTAGAAGGCCAGCTCCTTCTCCTCGGGCGTCAGGAATTTCGCCGATTGCGCGTTGTACGGCAGCACCCAGAAGGCGAAGAGCGAGAAGAGCATGCTGCACCCGCCCTCGATGACGAAGAGGTACCGCCAGTTGGCCAGGCTGGTCGAGTGGATCTGGAAGACGCCAAAGGACAAGAGGCCCCCAAAGGCCGAGGCGATGTTGGAGGCCGCGTAGAAGATGGCCAGGCGACGGGCGAGTTCGCCGCGGCGGTAGAATACTATATATGAGAATGGGTGAGTACCTAGTTAAATGTAGATGGGGGTTGAGCTGGGGTGTTGTGTGTGGTCAATCTTACAGGTCTGGTAGAAGATGATGCTTGGGAAGAATCCTCCTTCGGCCTATATCGAGAGTGACATGACATTTTGAGCATCGGAATCAACAAGACAACTAGCGAGGATATAGGAGGGGAAGGAAACAAACCATGCCCAAAAACCACCGACACGCAAAAAGTCCCCCAAAGTTCTTCACCGCGACCGTCATCAGCGTGCTGAACCCAAACACCAGCATCATCACCGGTAGGGTGCGACTCGGGCCAAATCTCTTACTGGCCAGGCCGACGATGGGCCCGGCGAGCACATACGGGACGAAGAAGATGGACAGGATCAGGTTATAGTCGTCACCCTTGAGGTGGAGGGTCTTTTCGAGGCCGGCCGTCTTTGCGTTTCCGAGGTTCGATTTGTCCTAAGAGCAGAGAAATCAAATCAATATACATATCCAGAATCTTTGAGTGTTCGTAAAAGAGGTTGGTGAGGCATGTTCCCCCACGAACCGATGCTCACCAGCGCATTGAAGAGGTACATGATGGCCAGCGTGGGCAGGATGCGCAGGTCAAACTTCCACACCAGCCGTCGCTCGGCGGCCGGGTCAATCGCCACACTGGCAGAGATGGGCTGGCCAAGGCCTTCTCCGAGCGAAGACACGGGGATAACGCCATCGTTGGTGATGGAGACTTTCTGGTCGTCTTTGAGGGTGAGCACATCACGCTCCTCGTGTGTATCCATGTCTCTCTGGTTGAGATCGCACGATCTTCAAAGAAAAAAGGAGGGAAGTAGAAAGAAATCCACCTAGTGCATACACAACCTTTTAGCTTTCCAACGACCGATGTACCTGTGGGAGGATCTTAAGAAGAATAGATGCAATCGGCGTATCATTCCGCTCGCTCCACAGGGATGAGCTGCGAGCAGTAGCATCGCGACAAGAGCCGTGAATGAACCTGGTCAGCAGTGATAGACGGGGATAAACGCCCCCAGACAATCAATTGCCCATGGGATGGGATCTTTTGCAGCTTTTTTGGAGATAAGGGAACCGACTATCAGAAAAGAAACGAGCCCATGATATTCAAAAGATTGCGAGCACATCTCACCGGGGCCCAACACTTTGCTAAAAACAACAGTCCAAAAAAACAAGTGCAGATGCACCAGGATGGTGGATGCAACATCCATCCCCCAGGAGGCGAAGAAGGGAGCGGAACATCCCTGAGCGGATTGGGATCGGCATCGTCATCATCAACAACACCAATGCATGGGGCTTGCATGGCCTTGCTGGGCTTGCCTTGGCTTGCAGATCATTTTATTGCTTCTTTTTCTTTGGAGCCAAGAGCTTTTGTTTTTGACGAAGAAAGTGGGATTGTTCAAGGGAGGGGAGTCAAATAAAGCGATGAAAGGCGAGTGGGAGATAAGAAAAGATGGGACAGTGTAACATTCCGGGGGATTTTACAGAAATGATGACAAGGATGCGTTATCGCTGTCGATCCATCAGGGACAGAGAAAGGTTGTGGACTTCTCCGATCGCCATGGAGGCAAGAAGAGGAGATGATCGACTGGCTGGCTGGAGTGTTGTGCTAGTTGTCAGGTAGATCTGGGGATTGATTGCGGAGGGAGATCGGAACATGAAGGAGATGGCAGAATAGAGAATAGATAGCGTTATCTCAAGGTTTGGAGGCTTTCTCTTTCATCCATGCGACTCCGGGGTTCAGTTTTCAACATGTGTCGTGGTCTGATACATAGATCTGATTTGATCTGATCTGATCTGATCTCGTTAGTATCAAACAACCACGTGTGGCAGCAACTCCTTCTCGCCTTGCTCACTCCATCTTCCCACTGATCGCCTTCTGCATAAATGTCCCCAAAATCCCATCTCGTCTCGACTGCTCCCCGACCCATTCCTGCATCTCGCTAGGAAACGGAACTGGGTCACGGTAGAACAGGCGATTCGTCGACGCTTCGACGCAACATCCATTCTTCACCTGTCCATCTTGACCGTCACTCAGTCCATCCGGGGCAATCCGCCCCTTGACATCGATCAACTCGTCAAACGCTCGCGTGATGGTTTCCAAGGGTGTGAAATTGTCTTCGGGCCACTGCTCCCGGATGGGCTTGGGGATGATGTTGGTCTTTGTGGTGCTGGGCATGACGGCGTTCAACGTGATGCCCTCGTCTTCGAACAAGGTCGGTGCCGCGGCTCGAACGAGCCCTATGCAGCCGTGCTTCGCCGCCGTATACATGGGCAGGATGTAAAACGGGTACTGGCCTGCCATGGACGCCGTGACGACCATCTTCGGGTGGAAGTCGTGCAATGCGGCCACCCCCATGGCGGCGTCCCCCCCACTGATTCCAATGTCGTCCATGGCTGCCGCGGTCTGCTGGTTGAGTAGGGTGCGCGCCTTCCTGGCAAATTGGACAAAGAGCTTCATTCCATAGAAGACCGCCTTCAGGTCGATGTCGATGCAGCTGAGATCAGGTTCGACGGGGTCTCGCTCCTTCTCAGTTGTCTCAGCCTTACCGAGCCAGCCCAGGAGCGGCTCTCTGTCTGGGATCCCAGCGTTGTTGGCGAAGAAGTCGATACGTCCCCCGGACCACTCGAATGCCCTCTTGAAAAGTTCCAGCTGGTCCGAAAACTTGGAGACGTCGGTACGCACAAAAATGTGGCGATCTTGGTCCAGCGTGGACTTGATGGCTTCGTATCCGACTGGGTTGATGTCGGCGAGTACCACCCGCCATTGTCCTCCCTCGTCGTTGCTATTCCCTGTCTTGGCTAGGAGGTGATGCACCAGAGCGAGTCCCATGCCAGAGACAGCGCCTGTGACAATGGCGGTTTTGGTGAGTGTGGGTTTGTCAATCATGCTGGATGGCTGCTGGGAGATGGTCCTGTGTGGTTTCTGATTGATATGCAACGGGCCCGGTTTGACTAACCACCTCATCCTCTCGGGGGGAAGATTGATGAAGACATTCACAAATCTGCTGACTTGGTCCCTAATACTTTCACAGCCGACAAGCTCGGCGCAAGTCTATTGATTCGGTATGATGCGCATGAAGTAACATGGAGCATATTGTTCGGTCGCCGAAGTCGGGATGAACATGGCTAGTCAAGGCACGACCACCAAAAGAAAAAGGTGACACCAGCCAGGGAAGCTACTGTGCTGGCAGAGTGACATGGTATGGGGTCCCTCTGAAAGAAGTACGATCGATCTTGGAAGTGGTTCATGAAGATGTTGCTTGAGGGCGACGAGACCAAAAAACTGGACGTTGACAATTCCACCATTCAGAAGATCCGCTCCGCCACATCAAGAATTGTCCAATGATAACACATCTTGGCGTCTCAGATCGACCAATGGAAAATCCCACTCGTGCACTTGCTGGGCCAAGTTGGAGATATCAAGGTACAACAAGTATTTATGCGCCCAAGACACCGAATAAGATTCAATCTAGGATGCGCCGAGGTAAGACAAGACGGACGGTGGTCTTGTTCTTCTCCTGCTTGACAAGCAAGGAACTAAGGTAGAATCAACGTCCCCAGAGTCCGGAGAGGGAGCGTGTAGTCAAGTAAGTGATCAACTCAGCTCCCAATGAATTGTGTCAAAGCCACCCGAAGTACCTGCATTCCTGCGCATTGCAATAAATGCGACGGCCACGGAGTAGACTTGTTCTATCCTGAATCTCCACAGTCGTGCCTGTGCCTGTCCCACCCCCCCGGTGAAGAACCCCAATCTCCCCTATCCGAAGAAGCAATTACAAAATTCTGGCACATCCAGAAACCCTCTCAACCCCCTTTGCGCGGTGTACCGTACTCAGACTCTCACGAATAGTGCGGTCGAAAGCCGCTGCGGACGCGCTGATGGGCGTCTTGGTCGCTCGGCGCGGGGCCAAACTGCCTGTCACAGCGCCAGGACCAGTACTTGGAGAGGGCGTAGTAGACGTAGTTGTCGACGTTGTTGACGGTCGCGGGGAAGGCCTGGTCCCAGGCGCCGTAGGTGTCCTTGATCTGCTTGGCCCGGTAGGGCCCGTAGCCGTTGGGCGGGTTCGGTCCCGAGTAGTCGTCGATGGCTCGCCAGCCCTGGTCGTTCACCCGGATGAATTCGTACCAGCCCGGCACGTGGATGAACAGGTACCCCCAGTGGATGTACTCGTGCAGGATGGTCGAGCCCACCGTCTTCATCCAGTCCGAGTCGAAATCCCCGAGTCCCGCGCACGAATATCCCGGGCGCGGCTGGCCGTGGCTGTCCCGCGCCCACGACGTCTGAGGCGGGTTCGCAATGTCCTCGATCGACGGCCAGTCGAAGATGTCGTCGCAGATGTAGATGTCGGCATCGCGGTTGTCGTTGTCCTCGGTCATCCACGCATTGGCCGTGCCGTCGCACTGTCGCTCCGTCGGCCTCGCCAGGCCGTCTCCGATGAACAGCGCCGAGCCTGCCAACCTGGTGTTGAGTTGTGCGTTGGGCTGCGTGAGGACCGATACCACGGTTTCCGCCGTGAGCACCAAGTCCAGAGGTATATTGGCAAAGGTGCGGAATATGTCGCTCACAAAGACTGCTTCCTCGGGTCGGAAATACCGTAAGAATGCCTTTTTGACCACCGGCGTTAGAATCGAAACTTTCTCTTGCTATATATATGTGTGTATGTGTCCAACGCTGTATGTGTCTACCCAACGTACGTACCTCTTCGCAGGGATTAAATGTCAGTGCCACGACTCTGGCGATGTGGACGGCGTCCTCAAACCCTTCTCTCACCCTGTCGAGTTGCACTGCCGGGGCACCGTTGAGATGCTATATCGTCGGCGCCGTTGCTTGGCCTTTCGCCCCGTGCAGGCCCAGGAGGGGAATTATCAGAAGAAGCTGTAAGATGGCGCTGATGCCCATGGTGCTGATAGACGCGGGTTGTCTTGTCGGTGTCGTCGCAAAGAGGCGCGGGAGTAGTTTGCTACAGCACGAGAACTGCTTTGTGTAAGACTTAACACCGCGACTGATTAGAGAGCGACGATTGCAGCGCGATGTCAAGGCCGAACTCACCTTTAAGTAGCCCCTGATGTTACTCTCTAGTTTGACCCAGAAATCCCACTTCACACATGTCGCAGTGATGAAGATTCACAGTCCTCGCGGTTGCACTGCTACAAACACACGCACCTGGTGATTCTGGAAAGTGTGTGTGTGTGCGCGCAAAAAGTGATTTCGGTCAAGTGAAAGGGGAATGAATCAATTTCAACCGTTGCGTGAATATCGAGCACGAGAGGAATTTGTGGGATTTGTGGGATGAGATGGAATTTTCGTCCCCCTTTTCTATGCATTGTAGCATTCAGCCTTGCCTGCGCATAGAACACACACTCTATCTGAAAAATATATCATCTTCGAACAAGTCGTCACCCCTGACTTTTGCGCCGACTAATATCCCAGAATGTCAGATGAGTACGAGATCTTGAACGCCCAAATCCTCCTTCAATGGACCTACACGGAGTCCCGGGGGACTGCTCATGGGCATGTAACACGATCCTCGGTTGAAGTCTTTAATCCAGAGACTCACAATAGCCTCCACTCTCGCTGCTTCTTCCTCGATATATTTGGACGAAATCAAGGGCCCGATCACTGTGAAGGTATTGCTGTTTGCATTGCTGGCCCGTAGAACAACGGGCAGAGAAGCACCCCTCAGCAAGGCAACTATATCGCCACTTGCTGCGGATTCCGGAACCAGACACGGCGTTTTGCACAGCGACCGCACCACTGAAGATGTAGTTCTGTGGGTTGGGACATCTCCCATTCCGAAGAAAGCTTTGAAGACATCCACAGGTCCCGGAGATGGAACTGGTCTGGCTCGGAAATCAATTTCCTTGAAGCCTCTCAAATTCTCTATCCTCGTGTGCAAACCCCTTCTGAAGTTGCTAAAGATATTGCTGAAATCCATGAATGCTCGAGCTTGAACTGCAAGTCGAGATTGCAGCTCGTTTTGCGCAGACGATATGACCTTCAAGCGACCAAGAACAGTGCCACGACATGTCAATTTGCGTCCTGCACCATCTGAGATGAATTTCATCTTTGGACGCGAGTGCAAATAACGTTGAAACACGTTGAAACGGGTGTTCTGCGGCAAGCATATCCCCATGGATGCGACTCCAATTCATAGCCGTAGTGCTCCTCACCGGTTCGTGTAGAATCCAATCGAAGTCGAGATTCGGTCGAAAGGTCTTCTAGTCGGGTACCCAACTTGGAAGTTCAATCCGGTTTCTTTGGGTTTGACAGGCAAACAAGATGATATCAAGAGAGTCGTGAAGCTGCATGACATATTCGGCCGTGTCAGTAAACACCTCGGTCACTGTGCGGGAGTAGTCAACCGAGAGACACGGAGCTTGATCAGCTGTGAGGATGGATACCGGAGGCCCATCCAAGCCAGGCACCCGTGAAGGTCCAGCGCTTCCGCGTCTGTTCACACTGGTTGTCAGCGTAGCGGTCATGCTCAGGACGCCATAAACGTAGTCTCTCTCGTCCATGGCCTTGAAAAACCCGGCGCCGCGCAGAATTCGGTCCAAGATCCAGTTCGAGTCGTCTGCTAGGTTCCTCTTGGCAAGTAGCGAAGCAATCAATGCGTTATCACGCAGTGTCTGGCGGTGGTCCTTGACAGACTATCCACACCAGCAGTGTTGATTTCGCCTTTCCTGAGAAAGTGGAAATGTTCAAAATCTTCCACCCATTCCACCAGGCGTGAAACTTGCTTGTGAAGGTGAAACCAATCGATGCGAGAACTGCCTGCTTGGACATGAAGAGATCTCGCAGCGAAGACTTCCTGTCTTACCTACCTCAGGATCAGTACAAAGCGCATATTGAGGCATATTGAGCCACCACGGGCTAAGATCATGTGTTCAAGAGAATCAACTCACCCAAACTCTGCGAAACCACGGTCTGCTCGCCAAGATCTCCAAGCCACGGTAAACGGCTTTGAGTCCGTCAAGACACCCCAATTGATGCATGACATTGGACGAGAAGTGTATGAGATAGTCGATTGTGGCACCACCACATTCGCTCTCGTTGCCTAGCCACGCGATGACGGTCTCGGCTGTTGCGTAGATGCCGAACATCTTCTGGATCTGTTCAGATTTCTCACCATCGTCCGCCTGCTTGATGCATATCGCGTCAATCCAAAGGTATCTGCTCCTTTCTCGGTATCTGAGCTCTTGTAAGGCCGCGTAAGCATTGTATGGAATCTCCGTTGGTCTTCCATCGCAAAGAATAGTCTCTGTCCTGCCACTAGACCCCCAACTCCAAGATAGAGCATCAAAGGTGACGAGCGTTCCATCTATCTCAGCTCCGCCACTAGTTAGCACTGCATTCTGCATTGTAGAGTCTGATCCGTATCTGTTCGCCAGGTTCACCGGGACTTTGACGCAGTATCCGGATTTGATGCGGGCTGATAGGCGTGTAGGTCCTGGAGGGTGCCACAGTGCGCTGTCGATTGGCTGAGGGTTCAATTGGCGGCCCTGGCTCATAGTCATACTGATAGTGCCGTAGCCAGCAATCAGGTGCGCACGTTGTTGACCTCCGCGATGCCATGGAATATCCGATACTAATACAGGGTCAGTCGCTATCAAACACCACACATACCCTAACTCGCAAGGCCGGCGGACATAAAATAGGGATAAGGCACAAGACCTTTTTTGAGAGAGTGTCAGAGTGTACAACCCACCAGATATAACACTCAAAGGGAGTTAAATGGGCAGGTTTGCAGCTGTATTTGGCTACTCCTGGTTGGCCGCCCAACAGGCAACCGTGGGGTAGGAAGAAGGCACAAGAGTGAGGCTGAGTCGAGACGAATGCCTAGCCACCTCATGTCCTATCAAACACACGCCTTCACGCTTCAGCCGCAATTGACTGGAAAGCGGCAGACGAGATCCATCCCGCGCTGGGCGTCACAGACTTGTATGTATACTGGTAGATATATCAACGTTGGGAAAGTATTGAATGAGAACTCGCTACGAAGCTGCGATCGACGACGAGAGTGAGAGAATCGCCAATCGTGATTTTCGGAAGTCTCTATACCCCTTTTACCGCCCCACCATCAATCCTGACCGCTGAGCCCGTCATCCAACGCGCAGAAGGTGAAAGCAAATAGGCGACGAGCTCTGCGATCTCCTCGGGCTTTCCGAAGCGACTGATACCCATCGACTTGCGCATATTCTCTTTAGCCTCTTCGAGAGGAATGCCTTTCGTTTCCGCAACTTGCGTCGCCATGGTCACCAATCGCTCGGTTTCGACCGGCCCCGGCAGTATAGTGTTGACCTGGATGCCATCTTCAATGCCGCGGTCAGCGAACGCCTTTGACAGAGCATTGACCGCTGAGTTGACGACCGCCACGGCTGCATTGCCTGCTTTGGGTGCCTCGGCCGCCACTCCGGACATGAACAGCACGGCGCCCTTCGAGGCTTTCAAATACGGCCAGGCCTCGATCGTGAGGCGCCGCGCACCGTGCAATTTCAGGTCGAACCCGGCATTCCACTGCTCGTCGGTCAGCTTGAAAAGGTCGATTGGCTTTACGGAACCGGCATTGTTGAAGAGGGCATCGATCCGCCCGAACTTGTCGACTGTCTTGGCCACCACTTCCTTGGCGGATTCGGGGAGAGATAAATCTGCCGGTATTGTGAGCGTTTTGGCTCCCTCGACTTCCACCTCGGCCGCTACCTTGCGCAGCAGCGACTCGTTGCGGGCGACAAGCACGATCGTCGAGTAGATTTTGGCAAGCCGGACCGCCGATGCGGCACCCAGGCCTTGAGATGCGCCAGTGACGATGACGAGGCTCTCAGGTTGAGACATTGCCGCCAAGGAGACACTGCTGAGGCCAAGAGACCAAAAAAAAGGAGACTCGAGAGAACTACGCAACAAGCCTTTAGATGGAATAAGAAAAGGAACGCAAACGATAATCACAGTCTCACGGGAGTTGGAGCGGGAAAGGTTGATACAAGCCGCGGGGACGGTCATTCCCCCCCACATCAAGACAGCAGGGGGTAACAGAACAGAATTCAAGTCGCCCCCCCAAGGAATCACACTTGCCGTGTACCACTCAGGTCTTAGTAAGCCACCCTGACAAAATTTGTTGTCAAAGTAAGCAATCTCTCCATCTTTACCCAGCACATTTGACCTTCCCTCTAGTCTAGCCACGTGAAATGTTTCGCCATCTACACAACTCATATCAAGAATAAGGGACGTGGTTGAAAGAGCTGAGATTCTGTCACAAGTTCGATTAAAAAACCCCTTATCCGACAAAGCTGGCTGTGGCGTCCAAGATGAACTGGACAGTCTCCTCAGGCCTACTAAGCATAGGCGAATGACTGCTGTCAATCTCTCTCAAGGTAACATCTGCTCCTGCATCCTTGGCCGTTTGCACAAACATTTTCTGTACCTCCACTGGCAAGCATTGGTCTTGCTTGGTAGCAAGATACCACACTGGAACATCCTTCCATCCGCTGTAGGTATGTTCACCGTCTTGGGTCAATGTCTTCAGCGAATGTGGGGTGAGTTTCTGAACCCACTCATTCCCTTCTTCTTCGGGTAGATCGTGATAAAAGTACCCTCGGACATCACCAGTAACTACTGCAAAGCCCGTCTCCTCATCGAGTTTCCAGGTCGAGGGTGGTTGGCCCCCCATGCCCTCAAGAAAGTTTTTCACCACAGGGGCAACAAAGCCAGTTGCCATCAGGATGAGGCCAATAACATGCCCCGATGTCTTGTTATTTGTTGATAAAGATGCTGCATCTGGTTTTCCTTTCGGGGGAGTGAGGCCCTTGATCGCGCTTTCTCCCACAACGCCACCATATGAGTGGACTATCACCACCACATCGCGTCCCTGGGCCGTCTCGGAGACGAGGACATCCCTCACGGCTTGGATATCACCCGGGAGAGTTGCGCTCGGGTCGGACAGTGTTGATGGCAAGGTGACCGAGATGCATTTGTATTGGTGTTGGCTTTCGAGCGCGGTAGTGAGTTTGTCCCACGTGGCGGCAGGGTGCCACGCTCCTGGTACAAAGACGAGAGTAGGTTTGGACGACATGACTGATTGTGACTCTTGATGAAAGAGAAAGTCCTGGATGTTTGATGCTGGCAAGACGTCCTTTTAAATGAGAGTGTCGACCTTTCTTCCACCGACGCCACCACCTGCAGAGGGAGATACCCACCCTGGACCTTCCTAAAAGGTAACATATCGGAGTACGGATCGGGCGACGGAAGGTCAGAGAACCAATCAAGTCACAGTTGAGGGGCAAGCGAAACCACTCTCGGAAAGTCCAGAGCACGAGAATGGATCCACCTGTCAATATCAACAGCAAGTTGGCTATCAATTTTCTCATGTCCATCTGATCATCGTGGTCGGCCAGGGCAGCTGAATACCGAACACCTCAACAGCGCCCGTCACCATGCTAAATGTGAGCATCCATCCATAAATTCCCTAATCACAAACGCCAATCGATCAACGAAGCCATGTCCAGAATCCCTTGCTTTCCTCGCTAGCCCCCTCAGCACATTGATACGTTGATACTTCCTCAAACGCCCGCTTGCTTAGCCTCTCTACGCCGTATATTCTCTCCCTGATTTCCGAAATCCCCTCAAGCTCGAAACATCTTGACCACCTGTTTCACCGTCTTCCGGCAAATGGGACAGAGCTCACACTGTCTGGCGCACTCAACACAAGCACACACGTGGCCACAGTCGAAGAACAATGCATCGATCTCGTTGCCGTAGCAGATCTGGCACAAGTCCGCTTGCTCATCCGCGACCTGCCAGTACGTGGTTCCCATTCCCCAGCGCTTGCCGTTCTCAAAGCCGCCGACGTACTTGTTCCCCGTTCTGGCTTCCACAAAAGTCCCTTGGCCGTGACGTTCGTCCTGGTACCATTCCCCTTCGTAGGTGTCGCCGTTGCAATACGTCATTTTGCCTCCTTTGCCGCATTTGACGTTACAGACGAGTGGCCCTTCGTAGATATTGCCTGTGGAGCTGATGCTGAAACACCTGGCCCCGTGACAGAGCCCATTGACCAGAGGTCCTTTGTAGTAGTCGGTTCCAAAAACCGCAAGCTCGACAGGCTCGGTGGTTGTCACGGATTGTATGGGATGTCGTCGCTCTACCATCCGCAGGTAGGTCGAGAGCTCGTGGGGTGTAGCGAATTTGCCTTCTTTCTCAAGCTCCTTCACACGAGTTTCGGATACCGGCTCGTAAACGACAAGATCACAACCGTTGACAAATCTGGGGTCCAAGAATGTATCCTCGGGCCCCACAATGCTTCCATCGACGGTTGAATGACGACGCCAGGCGATAAATTGCTTGTCCGGCCCATATCCAAAGCGTCTCTGCACAAAGTCTCTCACCTTTTCTTCGGACCTGGCAAAGAATGTTCCCTGGACACGGAAAGTCTGCGTGTCGACGTCGAACATCTGGAGAAAGCCGTAGATGTTATCAACCGGGCCTTGCTTTTCAGGGGGTGGTGACGAAGACTGCGACGATTCGCTGGATTGCGAGGCCGAATGGTTGGTGGAAGCAGATCCGGAGTTCATCACAAAATCCATGGCTTCAGAGTCCTCGGAGATGACTGCAGCAATCAAGGATTCTTCGGCTTGAGACAGTGTCGACAGTCCCGGTGCTGACGTGAGTGCCGTCTCAGTATTGACTAGCAGACTTGTCACATCGACATGTGCTGCCGCATCAATAAGATGACCATGAGGCACATTCGCAGTCAAGCTTTCTTCGGCGGTTGGAGGCGGGATCTCGAGCTGCATGGGCGTGTCTTGGTCATTAACTTCCACGGCCACAGCGGATGGTTGTTGTCTGGTGTTTGCGGCGCGGTCAATGTCAGCCGCAACAGCGGCTCGAATTGAAGCTTGCTCGGCATCCGGAGCAGCAACCTCTTCTTCGTTCTCGTTGGCGACACTAGCTGAATCCGAAGTCTGGCTGCTTGAGCGTAAGAGAACCGAATCCACTGGGTCGTTCGTTTTGTCTGGCTCCCCAAACAATTCAACCTCATCCTTGCTGAGCACCGACATCCACAAGCATAACGGCTGACCTGGAAAACAGCCATTGCCTATCGCCTCGGTGAGGTGAACGTTAACCAGTTGAGCAGTTGCATAATGTCCAATCCCACTGTAACCCATCCCAAAAAGTCGAATCGTCTGAGGATCACTAATTCCAAGCTTTGCGGCAAGACGTTGCCTCAGATCCTGATAGGTTGCACATCTCGGCGAGCTCAGCAGATGAAACATGCCTTTGTGTCGAGACTGCTGTTTGATGTTGTACATATCCAGCAGGCCTTCCCGGCCGATGATGCCTTCGTCAGAGTAGACCTCAATGCTGATTTCTTGCAAGTCCCCATCGGTGGCATCTTCTGTAAAGTTTCCATGCGCCTCCTGATACGAAGAATCCAGGTACGGCGCGAGCCATTTCGGGAGTTGATACGGTTCCAGACATCCGGGCAGATAGTCAGCCAAGCAGCTGGTTCTGATGTACATTGCCATATAAGCAGTTGTTCGGGTTGAGTTGAAATCTTTCAGAGCCTGTCCTTCGAGTCCTTCAAATGCTTGTATTATCTTCCGGTTGTAGGAAAACACCTGGTTACCATCACCGTCCTCAAAAGCCAGCCACATTGTGTTAGGTCCATTCGGCCGCAAAATCGTGTAAAATTTTCCCGAGTTCCTCACGCCAGCATGGGCCATGAATCCATAAAGAGTGTATTTGCCACCTTCGCTGGTGCTGAATTCCGAAATATCGATTTCATCGTTCAAGATCACACGGTCATATAGTAGCCTCCATTCTCGGGTGGTCTTGTCAAACTTGTCCCGTGCAAGCAAAAGAGGCAAAAAATCGGGAAGACATCCTTTGAAATTCATGTCCCTCAAAGTACGGGTTAGTGTTTGCTGGACATCGAGCACATTCTCCACGGGCAACGGCGGCAATGACATTGGGCCACTTGGACCATCAAAGATTGCTCTCAGGGATCTCAAGCTTTCTTCGTCGTCATCCAATTCAAGTTCGATCGTCCGTCGAAAGGCTTCCCAGAAGGTTTGAACATCAGTGTATTCTTCTCCAACGTCTTTCATGGCCTGGATCGCAGGGTACAGGTCCACATAAGTTTCACGTTCTTTCCTTGACGTCCGCATCAGAAAGAGTATCATTTGGAGTTGCGCGATGAATGGCTTTGGTCGGACTTGGGAATTATGTCGCCAGCTTCCGGTGTCGACACGCTGCAGCAGCTTGCGAAAAGGGGCCAAAAGAAGCCATGCGGTCATCCCTGCCACGGCAGGGCTATGGTAGAGTGGAGGAGTTCCCATGGGGAAATACCCTGCCAGCGATTTCGAGTCCCAGTGAGGTTCGGCATCAGAGCTCCGCCACCACAAGGCCTTCGTCGGGTCATTGAAAATGCGGATGTAGGCGTCAATTGCAATAGTGTCGTTCTGTAAGAGCGGTGCTCTTTGCAAGTGCTGCCGGAGGTGTGCCTCTCTCCAAGGGCCTGCGACACTCGACCAGCCCCAATCATCCACATACTTGGAGAATTGACCCTCAGTGGAGGCATACGCACAAGTGCGTGGCTCTTCGGGGTTGTACATCACCACACCAAGCTGGGCAGACAGCCGCCAATCACCGTCTCCGATGTCTGAAGTCGTCTGCACGTCTAGCACCTCATCATGGCCAGTATCAGGGACACTGGGATTTCCTCCTTCCGAAGGTGGCTGGTTGTCTTGTTTTTGGCTGGCAGAGGTTGTGGAGGGTGTGGTTGAAGAATGGTCGTCTTTCTTCACGGTTCGTTCGGTTTTGAGAGTCATGGTTGGAACGGC